ACCCCCCCACCGGCACCCCCCCACCGGCACCACCACCGGCTCTGTTTGCTTGCTGCTGCTGATGCTGTTGATGATGGTGATGGTGATTACGATGTTATTCAGTGAGATTCATCTCGCTGCTGTTGTTGTTTGTTTGCTGTTGTTGCTTTTATTGAGATCCATCTCGCTGTTGTTGTTTGCTGCTGTTGTTGTTTGCTGCTGCTGCTGCTGCTGTTGTTCGCTGCTGTTGTTGTGGCTTTCATTGAGATTCATCTTGCTGCTGCTGCTGCTGTTGATGATGATTACGATGTTCTACAGTGAGATCCATCTTGCTGCTGTTGTTGTGGATTTCATTGAGATTCATCTTGCTGCTGCTGCTGCTGTTGATGATGATTACGATGTTCTACAGTGAGATCCATCTTGCTGCTGTTGTTGTGGCTTTCATTGAGATTCATCTTGCTGCTGCTGCTGCTGTTGATGATGATTACGATGTTCTACAGTGAGATCCATCTTGCTGCTGTTGTTGTGGCTTTCATTGAGATTCATCTTGCTGCTGCTGCTGTTGTTGGTGGTGATTACGATGTTCTACAGTGAGATCTATCTTGCTGCTGTTGTTTGCTGCTGCTGCTGTTGTTGTTGCTTTCATTGAGATGAATCTCGCTGCTGCTGTTGTTTGCTATTTGCTGTTGTTGTGGCTTTCATTGAGATCCATATCGCTGCTGTTTGCTGCTGCTGCTGTTGTTGTGCTCCCAGCGAGATCCATCTCGCTGCAGCTGCTGCTGCTGTAATTGTGGTTGCAATTAGCGCGTGGCTGTTATTGTTGTCGCTGTGTGTGTCGTGTACCCGTTGTGTGTTTGTGCCGCACGTTTAAACCTCTTTCGCGCTCCTACGTAAGCCAGACGTGCTAATCGACAGGAAGGACAACAAACTAAACCACAACAACAACAATGGTTGTAGTCGTGGTTGCTGTGGTCGCTATTGTAGGACCGCAATTGTGATTGTAATTGCTGTACAATGCTGGTTGCAGTTGCTGCTGCTGCTGCTCTGGTAATCGCTGTCATTCCCTTGCGGTTGTAATTGTCGCGGCTGTTGTTGCAACAACAATTAATTGTTGTTGCAACACTTAACAACTGGAACAAATGTCGTCGCGTTTGCTGGAGGGCTTCATAGGTGCTCGCCAACAGCACTTGCCCCAGCAGTCTGTTAAGGCTACACGGGGGATCTTTGTCTTTAGGGACTTGCAGGTAATTTTGTTTGTTTTGTTTAACTAGATTGACACCCGGAGCGGTGTTTTTGAATTCGTCTCGTTTATTTTTGACAACTTGTTGGCGAACTTTTAACATTTGTGAGTGCGAGTTTTGTTAACACGCTGTGTCTGTGTGTGTGTCTGCACGTTGTTGCTATAACGCGCAGTTCTATATAATACAAAAGTATTGCATCCTGTAGTCGACTCTAGTTTAAAACCTAAAACAAAGCTTACGAATATATTTTGTTGGTCGTAGCATCGACATAGACGCACTGTAAACAACAACAACAATAATGATTTAATACTGTTTTGCCTACGGGAGTCCTGTTTGCGCTTTTAAGTTAGCACAATACTTAAGTTTCCGTTCCAGCACAATCAATCTACTCGTGTGCTGTATTGCTATTAAACACCCTTGTATAGTGTGTGTATGAACACATTAACACCGTACTTACATTGCGTAGTAAGTAATGAACCCGTGTTTTGTCTACTTTGCTGTGCGAAAGTCAACTTTAAAAGTAGCGAAGCACTTTGACCCGGCATTGTCTTGTCAGTGACAATCTGTGCCCCCCCCCCCACATCCTTGATGAGTGCAACAATGATACCAAGATGCAACACGATTTTTGTTTCTGGGTAGTAAGTGTTAGTTTTCTAATTGCTGATGCCTAAAAAGTATAGAAACTTTGCTTTTGTGACCAGGATTTTACGTGAAGGAATGACACATGCACACGTTTTCTCATTGAAAATGGGTGAATTTCTAAATATTACTGTCCGGGTCACAAAAGCAAAGTTGGTGGGCAACAATATCCATTTTCTGTACTTTTGAGGCATACGCAATTAGTAAATAACACTACCCAGAAAAAACAGTTTTTTTGTTACACAGTGTAAAAATCGTGGATGTTATTTACACGTTACGATGCGCTTTGAATGGTCATAGTATATATATACCTTCTTTGCCAGGTAACTGCTTCCTAAGCGATTCACAACCGCGGCAACGCAAATGAATCGTGCTTTAATTCCGTCCTTGAATTTCGTACAACGAACGAAGTTCATAGTTTTGCGTTGTTAGCGGTGAACCGATGAACCCTGACGATAGCAGTGGGAGGAGGGGGAGGGCCCGTGCGGAGTGAATCTTGCAAAATTTGGTGTCTTTTATCAGCCGAGGCTGTGTGCCCCCATGATTGCTGTCAGCGGCAGAGATGGACTTTGGTCTCACTTGACAGCGGTGCGATGCTTCGGTTGAGAGTCTTGTTTTTTCTCGGCTGTGAAGCGCGTGTGTGTGTGTGTGGGACGTGTTTTTCTTTTTTTATTGTGTCTGCTGACTTTGTGTAACAACTCAACTTTTGTGGAGTCTCGCTTGTCGTTTAGAAAGTGTCGTCTTCAAGAAATACAACAACCGATTTGTGGTTTCGCCACGGTGGCTAGGAGATGTTAACTACCTCGCCCGGTATGCAGGAGATTGCGGTTTCGATCCTGACCCTGACGCTTGTTGTGTATTTGGAGTTTGCGTGTCTCTCTCTCTCATCATCATCACGGTGGCTAGGAGATGTTAACTACCTCGCCTGGTATACCGGAGGTTGTGAGTTCGATCCCGGCCCTAAATCCACAGTGGCTAAGAGATGTTAACTACCTCGCCTGGTATGCTGGAGATCGTGGGTTCGAACCCGACCTTGACGCCTGTTGTGTATTTGGATTTTGCGTGTCTCTCTCTCTCATCATCATCACGCTGGCTAGGAGATGTTAACTACCTCGCCTGGTATGCAGGAGATCACGGGTTCGATCCTGACCTTGACGCCTGTTGTGTATTTGGATTTTGCGTGTCTCTCTCTCTCATCATCATCACGCTGGCTAGGAGATGTTAACTACCTCGCCTGGTATGCAGGAGATCGTGGGTTCGATCCCGACCTTGACACCTGTTGTGCATTTGGAGTTTGCGTGTCTCTCTCCCCGTGGTCGCGTGGATTTTTCACCTGTTCCTCCGGTTTCCCCCTCCACATTTAGAATCAACGTGCGTTTATAAGAGTATTTGGCTGCGATACATTTTAACGTGATAAGCAACTTTGTTGGGCTATCATTTGTGGCGAGGTCGCGTCTGAAAAAGGGCTATGTAGCTTAGTGTGCCTTACCTGGTTAAATAAAAAAAATAGTTTATCAGTTTAGTTTTAACCCAAGGCTATTCAGGGACCATAATTGAATGTGCTGTCTGACCCGTAGACCTGCAGAAACCTGTATAACTACTCCTTCCGAATGCTGAAGTATTGATGGATCTGCACGAGTAACAAGGCTTGTTATTCTCCAGCCTTGGTGTGCACACCTGTGTACGTGTTCGTAGATGCTCTCTAACAGCACTTGCCCTAAAAAATGTTTAGGGCGATACAGAGGATCTTTGTCTTTGTGTTGTAATCACTATTCTGTAAAAAAAATTTCGTCAGCGACCTATTCTCAATCCAATGCCGAATGAATTCCTCCCCCCCCCCCAAACCTTTTGGTCATGGGGGTTGTTTGACCATACTTCACCGAGCTGGTCAATGCGGGTTGTTGAAGGGCGTCCAGCACTGGTTTTAGATATTGCTCGCCACTGATGTGAGATTAGAACTTGGGTCACTGGGTTTATAGTACAGTGTGCTAACCCCCCTTGTACACATTGTGTTATTTAATAATTATGATTACTGCTAACATAGCAGCTTTCATCAAATAACAAGGCACTTGACATAAATGACAATGGGGGCGGTGTGGTAAGAATTGCCTAAGTTAAAATAGGAAATGCTTTCTGAAAGGAATGTTTTTAGGCGGAACTTTTTGGTCCCAAACGAACCGGACTTCCTGACAGCCTTCGACGGAGAGTTTTGCAGTTTAGGTGCCACAGGAGACGAGATCCTATCGCCCATAGACTCGAGCTTTATTCTGGGAAATGCAGAGTACATCTAAAGCTGCCAACCTCAAGAGTTTTTGTTGTAATGTAATGTCTCCCTTGCGGGCTCAAAGGGCTCTTACTTGGCTATCAAGGGCATCTTTCATCAATGCGTCAAGCATATGCAGCAGAGGTCGCAAACGGGTTTTGATTCCTTACCCGTACCCGTCCGCACCAGGGTCGCAAACGGGTAACCGTGTGGGTTGATTCTAGGAACTTGAATTGTGAGAAGAGACAAGACGTTGGGAAATGAGTGACAAACAGTGACTCACGGTCTACCCGGCCGCACCAGGGTCGCAAACGGTTACCCGTACCCGTATGGGTAGCTGAGTATCGGGTAGGGTACGGGTATCGGGTATCCGGTTGCGACCTCTGATATGCAGTCTAAATACACTGCATCGATGCCTTGCGCAACGCTGTACCAGCCGTCTGACTGTTTTAACGTCACATTCTGAGGAAGGTCACTTGGCTCGCCAAAGATGAGAATTGTGTATTTGCAAGTGTTTATTACAAGACCTCGCGAAGTTAAGAACTTTCAGATGGTACTGCCGAATGAGTGAAACAAACCAACTTCAATTGTGGTCCAGGAGAGTGTTTGGGCAGTGAGACGGGGAGGGGGGGAGGGTGAGATTTCTCAGCCCAGGTGAAGAGTGCATTCCTGATGAGTTTTGGATTTACATTTTTTTCACATTCATATTAATGCCAAATCAAATATTGATAATCTAAAATGTCATATCTAGTCCTGATTTTTTTTTTGTTCAAATGTCGGGTTCACATCTCGAGCGTGTGTGTGTATTATATACATGTGGTGTGTGTGTGATGTGTTTGTAACGGTGATTCTATCGCTCTCTTTGTCTTCCCACACAGGAGCTGAGAACGGTGACGGTGTGCTTGTGCCCCCGGAGCAGGAGGTGCCAACCTCGCCGGTCGATGGCGGCATCGAGCTCAAGTCTCCGGAGAAGAAGGGCAGGAAGGTCTCCTTCCAGAAGCCCCTGGGAATGGTGGAATACACGGTGAGGGCTCCTTGGGCTGATGTCCACTTAGTGCTGTCTTGTGTTGACATTAAGGCAGAGGTCGCAACCGGGTACCCGATACCCGTACCCTACCCGATACCCGGCTACCCGTACCTGGCCGGGTACTGGTAGCCATTTGCGACCCTGGTGCGGCCGGGTACGGGTAGGCCGTGAGTCACTGGTGAGTAACCGTTTGTCACTCATTTCCCAACGTCTTGTCTCTTCTCACAATTCAAGTGCCTAGAATCAACCCACCTGCGCCGGCAACATGGCTTTATCCCAGAGGTCGCAATCAGGTACCCGATAGGTACGGGTACGGCCGGGTACGGGTCCCCGTTTGCGACCCTGGCGCGGCCGGGTACGGGTACGGCTAAGGAATCAAAACCCGTTTGCGACCTCTGGTCAACGTGTTTCTGTGCCCCAATGATTATTTGAGGGGGGTCGTACTCTGGAAGGTCCTTCCTGTTAAGTGTTGCAGTCGAGGCAGCCATTATGATGTGATTTTCCAAATGTGTAATGCTAGATTTTCAAAATCAGCAAATTTTCGCCAGCCAGCCAGCAAAACTTTTTTTTTAGCGTAGCATGACACCTGCCTCAAACGGTACATTGCTGCAACAAGTGGCGAAGTGCTTCCACTCGGCCATGATACAGCCCCATGATCTTTCTACGTGGGAAAAATGTGGATTAATAGGAAGACTGTCTTTTTTTTTTTCTTGGTTCTTTCGGTAAAGTCACGTAGAAGGAAAACAATAAAATAATAAAAATAAAACATAATAAAATAATTCTTACGACGTTTCGGCCACAACGCAAGCAGCCGTCTTCAGGTGGAGAACAGGTCTGTCGAGAAGGCAAAGTCTGAATGGCACGCCCCAGGCTTGGAGCGACTATTTATGCTGGAATGGAGGGGCGAAGAGCGTCTTGACAAAATAATTTGCATATCAAGAGGAATTTAGCATATTTATGGGAAATGCAGATATGCGATTAGTACTACTTGTGAAATGCGTAGGAGGTTTGGCGAGGGGTTTAAAGTCATTATGCCCATGCATTATGCTGGATTAGCAGTATCAAAGGGAGGGAGTAAGGTTATAATTAATAAAGGGAAGGAATGTTAATAATATGACGCCGCAGCAACTTATTGTTTTCCTTCTACGTGACTTTACCGAAAGAACCAAGAAGATGAATCCCTGCAGTCACGAAAGCTTTACATCGAAATTTAAGACTGTGTCTGTGGATGACAGTATAATTTGCAGGTGAACTTGAGGCTGTGGCCAATGGAAGTTATGGTTAATGGGGTGTTTCACTGTGTATGTGATACATACATGTGTTCATGACGATCAGGTTAGAGCGAAACAGTCCAAGTTGGGCCACCTGTGTTGGTCTGCCCTTACTGGGTAGTGTTGCCCAGACCGTAATCCCACGGCACCGGCCTGACTTGTTTTGTTAGATCGTGTGATGTCTTCATGAAGATCAGGTTAGAGTGAAACAGTCCAAGTTGGTCCACCTGTGTTGGTCCGCCCTTACTGGGTAGTGTTGCCCAGATCGTAATCACATGGCACCGGCCTGACTTGTTTTGTTAGAGCGCCGGGTTCTACATTATTTCAGCTCCGTTGACCGAATTGTCGCCTGCAGGTGGAAGAAAAAGATACGCTCAACAGCATTGCCTTGAGGTTTAACACGACTCCCAACGAGTTGCTGCACAACAACCGACTCTTCTCCCACACGATTGTCACCGGGCAGGTGAGGCACCGTGACCCCCACGGATTTCCCCTGCCTGCCGTCCACACGCGACTTTAGACTACGTGGCCAACCGATCAGCGCGGTTTTGCTACGTACGGTGCGAAAGAAGTTCGACGTACGGGGTGGGGGGGGGGGGCTCCTCTACTTAGGAGTTAGTTTCCAGAGCTCTGTTCCTAAGTCGATTTGTTCGTAAGTCCAACTTTACTCCCGTCGATTCACAAACACTTTGTACGGCGTGCTCACTGAACACGGGCAATGGCTTTAAAAGTTGTACAATCTCCTGTAGATGTAGATGCCACTGGTTGTTCACGTTCTGCAGATGTAGATGCCACTGGTTCTTCGCGTTCTGCAGATGTAGATGCCACTGGTTCTTCACGTTCTGCAGATGTAGCTGCCACTGGTTGTTCACGTTCTGCAGATGTAGATGCCACTGGTTGTTCACGTTCTGCAGATGTAGATGCCGCTGGTTCTTCATGTTCTGCAGATGTAGATGCCGCTGGTTGTTCACGTTCTACAGATGTAGATGCCACTGGTTCTTCACGCTCAGTAGCTGTAGATGCCGCTGGTTCTTCACGTTCTGTAGATGTAGATGCCACTGGTTGTTCACGTTCTCCAGATGTAGATGCCTCTGGTTCTTCACGTCCTGCAGATGTAGATGCCACTGGTTATTCACGTTCTGCAGATGTAGATGCCACTGGTTCTTCACCTTCTGCAGATGTAGATGCCACTGGTTCTTCACGTTCTGCAGATGTAGATACCACTGGTTCTTCATGTTCTGTAGATGCCACTGGTTCTTCATGTTCTGTAGATGCCACTGGTTGTTCATGTTCTCCAGATGTAGATGCCACTGGTTCTTCATGTTCTGCAGATTTAGATGCCACTGGTTCTTCACGTTCTGCAGATGTAGATGCCACTGGTTTTTCACGTTCTGCAGATGTAGATGCCACTGGTTCTTCATGTTCTGTAGATGTAGATGCCACTGGTTTTCACGCTCAGTAGCTGTAGATGCCACTGGTTCTTCATGTTCTGCAGATTTAGATGCCACTGGATCTTCACGTTCTGCAGATGTAGATGCCACTGGTTCTTCATGTTCTGCAGATGTAGATGCCAATGGTTCTTCACGCTCAGTAGATGTAGATGCCACTGGTTCTTCACGTTCTGCAGATGTAGATGCCACTGGCTCTTCACGCTCAGTAGCTGTAGATGCCACTGGTTCTTCACGTTCTGCAGATGTAGATGCCACTGGTTCTTCATGCTCAGTAGCTATAGATGCCACTGGTTCTTCATGTTCTCCAGATGTAGATGCCGCTGGTTCTTCACGTTCTGCAGATGTAGATGCCACTGGTTCTTCATGCTCAGTAGCTGTAGATGCCACTGGTTCTTCATGTTCTCCAGATGTAGATGCCACTGGTTCTTCACGTTCAGTAGCTGTAGATGCCACCGGTTCTTCATGTTCTGCAGATGTAGATGCCACTGGTTCTTCACGCTCGGTAGCTGTAGATGCCACTGGTTCTTCACGCTCAGTAGCTCTAGATGTTACTGGTTCTTCACGTTCTGCAGATGTAGATGCCACTGGTTCTTCATGCTCAGTAGCTGTAGATGCCACTGGTTCTTCATGTTCTGCAGATGTAGATGCTACTGGTTCTTCACGCTCAGTAGCTGTAGATGCCACTGGTTTTTCACATTCTGCAGATGTAGATGCCACTGGTTCTTCATGTTTTGCAGATGTAGATGCCACTGGTTCTTCATGTTCTACACATGTAGATGTCACTGGTTCTTCGCGCTCAGTAGATATAGATGCCGCTGGTTCTTCACGCTCAGTAGCTGTAGATGCCACCACTGCCATCTATTGTGCGACGGTTAAACTTACGACTCTCAGTCCGTACAGGCAACTGGACATACGGACAGGTTTGTTCGTACTTCTGAAAATTTGTAAGTCGAATGTTCGTAAGTAGAGGCGTTCCTATATCCACACAAATAACTACAGAGACACAGCCACCATCTCTGTTCCCTCCACCGTTGTGTCACCCTCGTGCGGTTATACCTCCCTGCCCTGCCCCGCAGTGCTTGTACGTGCCTGACCCCGACGGCGCGACAAGTGAGCGCGGCTCGCCGCCCATGAGCCCCTGCAGCCCGTCATCGCTGCACCCCCTTCAGCGGGGCCCGCCGGGGGCGGCCGGGGCCCGGGACCAGCCACTGGCGAGCAGCTCGCCCCGGTCGCACCGCGTGCTCCGTGACCAGGCCTCCCTCTCCGAGGAGGAGGAACCCATGACCAAGAAGTTCCTCAAGATCAGCTGCAAGTACATCACCAATGGCAAGGTGCGTGTAACGCACCATTCCCCGCTGCTCCCCCCGTTACTCCGGGAGCGACTTGCAGTGATCTGCATCGACCTAGTTGGTAACAATCGCAGGTGTATCCACCGTTCTTGCGGCAATGGAGGCGAGAGGATGGGCAAACGATGGAGGAGACGGGAACGGTTTCTCGAAATGAAAATGTTTCTATTCTGACCGAGAGGTTGATGATCAGCGTTCGGTTGCGATTTGGACGACGGTTGTTGTAGTTTACCACGTGACGGGGTGAGCTGCCAGTTGGCTGTCACCTTCCTCCCCATTCCTACAGTGATGAGCCGTAGACCGGCAACAATACGTCGATTGATTAGATATTTAAGTTCGGGGCAACGTAATTAAATGTGAGTGTAGCAGGTTATGTAACAGATGATATGCGCATGATACATTTAGCATGATGGAGCAAATAAAGCTGTGAAAACAAGAGGGAATAAACAAAAAGCAATAGTTTGTAGTTGGTAAAGAACAGACTGAGAGTGAGTGCTTGTCCTTGTACGTACATGTTTATCACGTGTCGATGTTAGTGGAGCGGTGGTGTAGTGGTTAGCACACTGCTCTATCAACCCAGTGGACGATTCCCGATCACAGCCAACATCGGTGATAAACATATCCGAACTGGTCCTGGGCCTCCCTTAGGTTGACTTGGTGTGCAAAAACATCGCCACTAAGGAGACAAAGGCGTGGTGCTGGCCCCCACCACCCCCTCGTATGCTGTGCTGGCCTTAACCAAAGCGCTTTCAAACAGTGCTTAAGATTGGGAATCTCATTTGCCAGTAAAAATATGATAATTGGTTTCTTACCCTTCTATCTGGCAACAAAACTGACACCTTTTTACAAGGAGTCATGTTTGCATAGACCGCAATACCTGCAGTCATAATACAAACAAAATACATAACTCTGATAATGTGCACTGTCCTTGAAGTTGAGTGCGCCTTTTGGCGTCATCTGGTCCAACCCATGTGAGACTAGGCTCTAAGGAAATCTGTCTCAGGTGTGGACCAATCAACTTCAAGGACAGTGCATATTATCAGAGTTATGTCTTTTGTTTGTATTATGACTGCAAGGTATTGCAGTCTATGCAAACATGACTCCTTGTAAAAAGGTGTCACTTTTGTTGCCAGATAGAAGGGTAAAAAAACAATTATCAGTGCTTAAGATTGTTAAGGCTATTACGGGCGGACCGTTGCCTTTGGCTGTTGTCAGTGCCTGCGCACCCATACGCTGATGTCCACTCCCCAGGGTGTGGTGGGAGGGGTGCTCCTTGTCACCCCCAACAGCCTCATGTTCGACCCGCACAAGTCCGACCCGCTGGTGCTCGAGCATGGCTGCCGTGCGTACGGCCTGCTGTGCCCCATGGAGGAGGTGATCTCGGCCGCCGTGTACCGCGACACGGCGCACATGAGCATCCGCGACACCCTCCCGGCGTGAGTCTGCCGTCTCCTCCCCTGCGCCTCCAACCCTCGCGCGTCCCGCAGTGCGATTGATCCCAAGTCTAATGGTCACGCTTCAGTCGCAACATTGTTTTTGGTTCTAATACATCCGTGAATTGTCTTGTTTTCAAGTAACTCGCGCTTTGGATTTTTTTTACCGAATTTCGTGTGTTTTTGTTTTACGTGGTTTCACAATTTAATTTTGCATTCGTTTCTCCCCTCCCTTTTTGTTTGTGTTATTCTTACTATCAATGGCCCATAACCCAACTTCATCCCCGACCCTCTCCCCTCCCTCCCCGCCCCGCCCCGGCACTTCCCGCTGGTCCTTCCAACGCAAACTCCTCCACCGCCGCGCACGCGCAACGGGGGGAGTGTGTTGCGTCTGCACGCCTCTAGAAACTTCTCCGAGTGTTTCTGTTCCCCGAGCAGGCCCGAGGACGTGGGGGCCTTCGCGCCGGAGCACGAGCTCAGCCCCTTCACGCGTCTGGAGCGCGAGCGAGCGCGCTCGGCCCTCGCCTCCGAGCCGTCGCCGGAACCCGTCCCCGGTCGACCCCCCGACGGCTCCGCCCGCCCGCCCGCCGGCCCGCCCGACGGCCGGGGGTGCCGCTCGTGCGGCGGCCTCGCGGCGGACGACGGCGATGGGGCGAGTGACGACGCGCCCGCCGGCGGCGCCGCCGCCGCCTCCGCCGCCGACGACGGGGACGACGCGGACGACGACGAGACGCCCTCGGACAGGGCATCGTGGAGCCTGGCCTCGGCCGCGACGCAGGCCAACGGCTCCTCGTCCGCGTGCGAGAATGGCGACGCCGACTCGGGCGCCGGGGAGAAGGAGGAGGCGCCTTGGGCGGAAGACGTTCCCACCGGGGAGGAGCACGGCGGCGCACGCGCGCTCTTAGAAAGCACGAAGATCCAGGGGGATGGCAGTCCTCCGCTGCACGAGCGTCGTGAAACCGACGGCCTAACTACTTCGTCGGTGGCGTCCGATCTCAGCTCCGTAGATGCAACAGCAAAGGGGAACGGTGGCGAGCCTGAAACAACTGGGCCGGATTTGACGATGCCAAACGGTGAGACGGCGGAAGGGGAGAGCGAGCGTCCAGAAGTCGCACTCGATCCGGTAACCGGGGACGGTGACGTTCGGGGCGCGACAATCACGGCGGAGGTGCCGGCGGCGCCGTCAGGAGAGGAGGACCCTGCGAAGGGTGAGGAGAGTTCGGGGATCTCGGTGGAGGAGCACCCCGGGAGGGACTCGAGTGATGCCCGCGCGGGGGACGTCGCCACGGCCTCCGCGAGCTGCGCGCACGAACACGGCGTTGCCGCAGCGCAGAATGAAAATGAGCTTTCGGCTGCGATGATGAATGCATCGACCGCTTCGGTGTTGACACCGGCCAACGGCGGCGATAAAACGGACGCGGAGACTTCGGCGGCCGAGGAGGCGGAGCCGTCGGCCGCGCGGACGGAGACGCGCAACGAGCAGAGCTCCGGCATCTCGATGGGCTCGTCCACGGTAGGCCGGAGCACCGTGTGGTACGTGGAAGAGGAGGAGCTGGAGGCGGTCATGGCCGACCGGACCGGCGATCGAGACGACAAGGAGGACGCGGCGGCCGCGGCGGACGTCTCCTCTGAGGGCCAGGATGAGCATCCCGGCCCGGACGTCGCCCGCGCTCCCCTCGTCCGGGAGGCCGAGCGCTCGGGCCGAAAGTGGAGGAGCCTGGCCGACCTCCCCCGTAGGGTGGTGATGAAAGGGCCTCCCAAGGAGGGCAGCGGAAGTGCCCAGAACGAGGCGGGTGGCGGCGGTTCCCAGAAAGGGGGCGGCAACGCTCGTCAGAAGCGGGGCAGCGGCGCCCGCCAGAAGCGGGCCGGCAGCGGCAGCAGCGCCTTTCAAAAAGGGTGCGGCGGTGTCCCCCAGAGGAAGGGTGGCAGCGCGAAACAGGAAGAGGGGAGCGGCGCGAAACACGAAGAGGGCGACGCCGCGAGACGGAAGGGCGGCGGTGGTGCGACGCGGGAAGAGACTGCGAGCTTGCCGCAGGAGGAGGCCGCCGTTGCGCAACACGAGGTGAGCGACGACGTCACGGAGGAAGGGGGCGGCGGCCTCGCGCAGGAAGAGGGCGTCGACGTGCAGCAGGAAGGGATGGGCAGGGACGCTTGCGAGGTGGATGGCGCGACTGGGACGAAGCTGGCGGGCTCGGCGAAGGGCAAGAAGAGGAAGGGAGATGGCGGCGAAGGAGTTTCTCGGCCGCGTTGGGAGAGGACGAAAATTTATTCGGAGGCACAGAAGGAACCGTTGCACCGTTTGTTGAAAACGATGGAAGAGCCAATCGAAGGTGAGCAGAAGCTGCCGTAGTATATTTTAATATTGTCGAAATGCTCGACGATTTTTAGTTATTCAATTGTTCTTTTCATATGTGCGTGCAATCATATTTTTTAAGCGTTCATGTCGGTGGTTCAAGCTGTGTTTTCATGACAATTGTATGAGAAAAATGGTGGCTTGTTTCGATTTAAAGCTTTCGTGACTGCAGGGATTCATATTCTGGGATCTTTCGGTAAAGTCACGTAGAAGGGAAATAATATAATAATAAAAATAAAACATCATAAAATTCTCACGACGTTTCGGCCACGACGTTTCGGCCACAACACAAGCAGCCGTCCTCAGGTGAAGAACAGAGCTGTCGGAAAGATAGCTATGTTGTGGCCGAAACGTGAGAATTTTATTATGATTTATTTTTATTATTTTATTATTTTCATTCTACGTGACTTTACCAAAAGATCCAAGAATATAGTGGCTTGTGTCAAGCACCAACGGAGGGGAGTCTTACAGAGACAGTTTTAACCATTATTATTACTAGTATTGAAATTGCCAAAATCCAATATAATTTACGATCCGATACCAAACACGGTTACAAGAACAATAATTTATAGCCGTTTGTCAATCCATTTCTGGATGTTGACCTCACCACGTCTTGCAGTAATGGGCGTTGTTTGACCATACTTCACCATGCTGGATCGTGGAGGTGTTAAACGTATATTTCTGCAAAAGATTCACCAATACTTTTGCATTATTTTGTACATGACAGATTCATTATTCAAACTGCACAGAATTGCACATTTTGCAGGATTGGTAGATTTTAATTACATCTGTTAGAAATGTTCTTTTTGCTTTTTTTTACCCTTTTCTAATTGTGCGTTATGTTTTTTATTTATTAAAAGTGTCACAGAGAATATAAATGTGCCGTTAAACCCACTACCACCCGACACAGCCAATTATAAGGTTTGTCACATAAACAAAACTTGCCAATTCGTTACTAGTACAGCACACCGGTGTGTTGGAGAGTAAATCCACAACATTAACAATTCGAGTTCGACATTTCGCCAGTAATTACAACGAGCCTCATCAGGCGACAGCCCGATTTGTGGATAAATCCTTCTGTTCCGTTCTTAAATAGAGGGATACACGTCATGTCGTCACTCGTTAGCCAATCGGGTGCGAAATCCAGAGGGCAGGTTTACTCTCCAACACACCAGTGTGCTGTACTAGTAACGAATTGGCAATTTTTGTTTACGAGAAAAACCTTAATTATTGGCTGTGTTGGGTGGTGGCGGGTTTAACGACGCATTTATATTTACGCGATCTAACCCAAAAAAAAACTCGGTTATGGATAATATTGGTCGTGAAATCCTCCTGCTCCGTGTTAAACGGTCACAGAGAACCTTGTTGTCGGTTAAAGGACCTGAAAATCGTTGCTTCAGAACCAATATTTGTCGCTACTGTACAGTGAGAGGCCCCTCTCGCAGCATTCAGGGCACATTTTTATAACGGGTAAAGGCGCAGCTCTGCAATTGCTCTCTCAAGCCACTGCTGCTGGAAGGGCCTCGACGAGAGGGACCTCTGGATAGTATTTGGCCTACTCTTCCTCGCCAAACCTCTAGTATCCCTTGCAACGGGGGATTCTTTCACACGTTAATAATTTTTTTTAAAATAAAAAAGTGTAATAAAAGGTTTTAACCTTTCTGGCAATAATATAGATGTTAGAAATGTATTTTAGAGCTGAAAAAAAGCTGTGTTAATTGGAGAAAAAAAATAACTCGATGTTTTTTGGTGCGGTTAATGATCACCATGCTAAGGTCGCTACTAATTTACACGTCAGAGGTTATGGGGTGGCTGAAGCCCGATTTCAAACCCCGGTGTCCCAGTGGTGCCGGCCCAGCCGTGTGGCACGAAGCGCCCCCCCCCCAGGTCCACCCGCCCAGCTTCTAACAAACACCTGTGTGTGTGATCGAAACGTCGTGAGAATTGTATTGTATTTGATATTTTTATTATTTTATTACTTCCCTTCTACGTGACTTTACCAAAAGAACCAAGAAGATAAACACCTGTGTGTGTGATCGAAACGTCGTGAGAAATGTATTGTTTTATATTTTTATTATTTTATTATTTCCCTTTTACGTGACTTTACCGAAAGAACCAAGAATATGAATCCCTGCAGTCATGAAAGCTTCAAATTGAATTCTAGATTTTAAAGCTTTCGTGACTGCAAGGATTCATACTCTTAGGTTTTTTCGGTAAAGTCACGTAGGTAAAAAATAACAATAAATAATAAAAATAAAAGAAATAATAATAGAAATAAAATAATAAATCACGACGTTTCGGAGGCAACACAAGTCTCCGTCATCAGGTGGGACCGTCACAGCTAAATTTACTTTAAATTGAAACCTGTGTGTGTGCGCGCGCGCGTGCGCGCGCGTCCATTCTCTCTCTGGGGAGTGGTAGTGTAGCGGTTAGCGCGCTGCGCTATAAACCCGGCGACACGAGTTCGATTCCCGCTCACGGCCAACACCAGTGACGATTATCTGAACCGGTCCCGGGCCTCCCCTAGGTCGACTCAGCCTCAAATGAGTACCTGGTGCGGTGTGTAAACATCGTCGCTAGGGAGACAAAGGCGGTCGGGCGTGGTGCTGGCCACCCACCCCCTCGTGTACCGTTGCGGCCTTCATAGGTGCTCGCTAACAGCACTTGCCCCTACAGTCTGTTAAGGCTATACGGGGGATCTTTATCTTTGTCTCTCTGCACCCCCCACCCCCCACCTCTCCAGCCCTGCTTCCGGCCCGCGAGCCGGAGAGCGACTCCCCGCCGATGTTCCTGTGCCTTCGCGTGGGCAAGCCCATGCGCTGCTCCTTCGAGCCGGCGCGCTCGCCGGTCGTGCAGCACTACGCCTGCCGCGGAGCCCAGCCCGAGTACTGGTTCGCCGTGCCCAAAGACAGGCACGTCCCACGATTGTTTGCACCGGTGCAGTTGCCACTTGTTTTTTGGAGTCCGTGGCTCGAAGAGTGGGGGGGGGGGGGGGCAGCCACTGTCACTAGCGGTGGAGCGATTACTCCTGCTGAAACATGTACGTTTGTTATTGGTGTTTATTTTGCTTTAAATCTCGGTTGCTGCGCACGGGCCCAAAGTGAGCGTAAACTTCAAGGCCGAAGTGCTGCGTCCATGGAATGCAGACCACCAGTGCTGATGGGTGGAACTCGTCTGAGAGGCCGCCACTGTTGTGCGCGTGCAGGGTCGACCAGCTCTACACGTTCTTCGCTCAGTGGACGCCGGAGGTGTGCGGATGCGGCGGTGGTGCTGGCGGCGGTGGCGGCGGCGGCGGGGGCGGCAGTGGTGATGGCTCGGGGGAGCTGGGCTTCGTGGTTCTGGAGCGGCATGACGCGGAGGCCCTGGAGGCCATCGAGGACTTTTACTCGGACTCCTCTATGGACTGGGAGGTGCGACACGAACGATGCTCGTATTGCAATGCGAAGTACACACCCAAAGTAATGCCTCCTTATGTGATTTTTTCTCTCGCCGGTATTTCTTATAGAAAGTTTCTGCCCATGAAATAGTGCCAAAGAGCTCACTGGGCCCTTCCTGTGGAAATAAAATCTAAATATCTAAATAGGTATTGATGGATTTTATTTAAACAGGGGAGAGCCCCCAATTTAATCTTTGGATATGTCTGACCAATTCCATGAATGGGTGATTTGGAATGAGAGAAAAACAGTACCCGGAGACAACTCGTGCATTTGTTTAGGCAAGAACACTCGAGACGGATTGAGATACTATCTGTTGCATACTTTGCGGTCCAAAGCCTACAACACCTGGAATTCACAAGCAGCCTTTCATCCAAGTACTAACCAGGCTCAGCCAGCTTGGCTTCTAGAAATCTGACAATGAATGAATGCATTCAGGGTGGTTTAGTCTGATGACAAAATTGTAGGCAGTCATTAGTGGAAATATCATGAATACTTGCATGTTTCTTCACACTGACACAAATGAGGTGGTAGTGCTGGGTTGACAACTGGGCTTTATTCACCCTTGATACTGGTAGGAACCTCCTGGTTACACCAGCCCACAGGGGATTATTGTGTCTGTCCGTCCGTCGTGCAGGGTGGGACTGGGTGGGGAGGGAGGGGTGGGGCGGGGTGGGGAGGGGAGGGGATGGTCACCCCGTGGTGCCCTTATAAAACTCAACGTTTAACCTACTCACGCCGGCTTGTGCCCGCCCTCACAGTCGGGCATATTTGCGGAATACACCACGCCGCCGTTGACCCTGGCCATTGACCGAGCAACCCAACGTTCCTACCAGCTCCCTCCGCAGGAGGAATGTGGTGCTGGGTTCTCAAGTGCAGCACGTTGATGGCCCTGAGTTCAGTTACCAGTGACTACGTAAAATTCACATTAAATTAGGTTTTGCACTTCGTTTGGTTGAATTCCATCTTTTCAGCAATCAAATATGCAAGTTTGAATTCCATGAGACGACCAACAATTGGTTGATTTTAATTGTTCATGCGGGAGTAAGAAAAATGCAGCCCTTAAGCCGTTTTTACAGAAAGACTTGCGGAGGATCTTTGCGGGAAAAAAAGGAAGCTAGAGCAGCGAATAAATCATCACATTGCAGACACTTCGTAGTAGACACGGTCTAGGAAATCAACATCCAGGTCACGCACCATTCTGAAACCATACTATGCATTTTTTATTTTACCAGGTAAGGCCCACTTAGCTCTATAGCTCCTTTTCAGAAGCAACCTGGCCACAAATGATAGCCCAACGAAGTGGCTTATCAGGTGGAAATTCATAGCCGCCAAATGCTCTAAACAGTTTCAGTTTCATTTATTTGGTAGAGCCCTGTGAGCCATTTGGCTCTTGAATCGGGTGCAACCGCAACAAACAAAAAACAAAAATATTAACAAGAAAACATCTTAAAGTGACTATGTGACTATATGCAAACAGAAAATCCAATAAAAGACAGCAAAATATTGCAGAAAAAGCACCGTACACCAACGCTGTGTGCAAAAATCCCAGTGGGATGCAAGTCAAACAACAACAACAACCACAAGACAACTTCGATTAAGGCCATCAGTCTAACTCCGTACTACAACAAACAAACATGGCCAAACCAAAAAACTTTTCGAAATCACCAAAATAAAGCCATAAAAGCAATGTAACAGTGATCATAGGAATTGTGACCGAATTTTCACAATAAACGACATAAACAACATGTACCACAAAACCCTGCTGCCATAGCTGGCTGCATGAGTCACTCCACAACAGCAGGAGCATCAGTCACAGTGTAAAAAAACTTCAAAGCACCTTTAAGATCAGCACACTAAATCAAAACACAGATCATACTTTGCAGCGATCATCCGGAGGGAAAAACCGGAGGACACGGAGAAAAACCCACACGGCCATGGGGAGAACATGCAAACTCCAAATATACAGCAGCATGCGTCAGGGTAGGGATCGAAGCCACGACCTCCTGTATACCAGGCGAGGTAGTTAACATCTCCTAGCCACCGTGATGATGATGAGAGAGAGACACGCAAACTCCAAATATACAGCAGCAGGCGTCAGGGTCGGGATCGAAGCCACGACCTCCTGTATACCAGGCGAGGTAGTTAACATCTCCTAGCCACCGTGATGATGATGAGAGAGAGACACGCAAACTCCAAATATACAGCAGCAGGCGTCAGGGTCGGGATCGAAGCCACGACCTCCTGTATACCAGGCGAGGTAGTTAACATCTCCTAGCCACCGTGATGATGATGAGAGAGAGACACACAAGCTCCAAATATACAGCAGCAGGCGTCAGGGTCGGGATCGAAGCCACGACCTCCTGTATACCAGGCGAGGTAGTTAACATCTCCTAGCCACCGTGATGATGATGAGAGAGAGACACGCAAGCTCCAAATATACAGCAGCAGGCGTCAGGGTCGGGATCGAAGCCACGACCTCCTGTACACCAGGCGAGGTAGTTAACATCTCTCAAGTACCACCGGCGGGTAAGACAAGAATATGACGCCAACTCGTACGATGTTGGCTAACCACGTGTGCAAGAAGAGGGAGATGTTAAATTAAGGAAGGAATTTTTAAAGGCCAGGGGGAGGGATTTAAGCAGAAACCTCAAAGCAAGGATAAGAAGTCACCAATGGGGTGACTTTGTGTATGTTTGTTGAATTACTTATTGTAGTTTATATTGGAATTGTTAATTTTCTTATTGATGGAATTCGTGATCGTGTGTGTGTGTGGTGCGCGTGTGTACTCGTGAGGAGCGGTAGTGTAGCGATTAATGCGCTGCGCTACGAACCTGGCGACTCGGGTTCGATTCCCGCTGATGGCTAACACCAGTGACGATTATCTGAACCGGTCCTGGGCCTCCCCTAGGTCGACTCGGCATCAAATGAGTACCTGGTGGGTTGCGTGAACATCGCCACTCGGGAGACAAAGGCGGCTGAGAGTGGTGCTGGCCACCTTCTTCATAGTTGCGACTCGCTAACAGCACTTGCTCCTAAAGTCTGTTAAGGCTATATGGGGGATCTTTGTCTTTGTACTCCTGTCACCCAGATCGTGACCCTGGAGGAGGCTCTGAGGAGGCAGAGTCTCCACACGCTCACCGACAGCGAACCGGAGCCCATGTGGCCGACGTTGAACGTTGAGAGCAACTTGCTGCAGCACCACCACATTGAAAAGGTACGCACATGGACAAAGATAAAGATCCCCCGTATAGCATTAACAGACTGTAGGGACAAGTGCTGTTAGCGAGCACCTATGAAGGCCGGAACGGCACACGAGGGGGTGGGTGGCCAGCATCACGCCCGGCCGCCTTTGTCTCCCCAGTGGCGATGTTTACACACCGCACCAGGTACTCATTTGAGGCTGAGTCGACCTAGGGGAGGCCCAGGACCGCTATAAAAAGGCGGTCGCGCATGGTGTTGGCCTCCCACCCCCTCGTGTACTGTGCCGGCCTTCGTAGGTGCTCGCAAAACAGCACGTTCTGTTGAGGCTATAGGGGTCTTTGTCTGGCACATATGGAGTGGGGAGCGGTAGTGTAGCTGTTAGCGTGCTGCGCTGCGAACCCGATGACTCGAGTTCGATTCCCACTCACTGCCAACACCAGTGACGAATATCTGAACCGTTTCTGGGACTCCCCTAGGTCAACTCGGACTTGAAAATTTTCCCCAGTGTGGTGTGTAAAAACAATCAGCACTGGGGAGTTGAAGGTGGCCAAGCGTAGCGCTGACCACCCTCCCCCTCACGCTGGTCATTACACATCAGTAACGGACTCCCTGTCCGATCGCGACAAATCCAACAACGTGTGTTCCGCGTATAAACGTGTCGCTGTGGATTGCACGCAAAACCCTGCTGCGTTCCCCACCACCACCACCCCTCTGAACCGCGTGCCGCCACCGTCCGCCGCTCTTGCCCGCAGCTGGTGCCGGAGCTGCCCCCGCGCACGGTGGGCTACACGTGGAGCCTGCTGTACGGCACGGCGCAGCACGGCACGAGCCTGGGCACACTGTACCGCTCCGCCCTGCTCTCCGACTCACCCATGCTGCTTGTCGTGTGCGACACCGACGGGCAGGTGGGCGGCCCCCACCCCCTCCTACTCGCCTACTCCCCCCCCCACCCACCACCCCCACCTCACCCCCCACCCTCCACCCTCACCACCCCCCACCCGCCACCCTCACCTCACCACCCTCCACCCCCACCTCACCACCCCCCCACCCTCCACCCTCACCTCACCACCCTCCACCCTCACCTCACCACCCTCCACCCCCACCTCACCCCCCCACCCGCCACCACCCCCACCTCACCCCCCCACCCTCCACCCTCACCTCACCACCCCCCACCCTCCACCCTCACCTCACCACCCTCCACCCCCACCTCACCCCCCCACCCTCCACCCTCACCACCCCCCACCCTCCACCCCCACCTCACCACCCCACCCGCCACCAACCAACACCGCCACAACCTCTCCTTAAAATTCATCACCACATTAACAATGCCATGTTAAATCTGGATTTGACATGTTAAGATAGTATTTATTACCCTTTGGTTCTTTCGGTAAAGTCACGTAGGTAGAAAAATAATAGATCACGACGTTTCGATCGCAACGCAAGCGACCGTCATCAGGTGGAACAGATACAGCTGGAGAATTGCTGACGTCGGAGAAAGAGCTGCTGCAGTTTTGGTCGCACGATTAGGAAATGTTTGTGGGGAAATACAACAACAGAAAATGACAAAAAACTTAAGACGGGATCACAGGCCGAGTACGGAATGCTTACATTGAGTAGATGTATATTTTATTGAGTTTGGGATTCAAAAACCGAGTCGGAGGTTTTTGTATTGAAACGTATAGTTTGTTGATTGATGAGGGGTTCTTATTCTGAGTAAGGAGGTTCTTGGAGTAGCGGGTTCGTAGTGCAGTGGGTTCCTCAACTAAATATGGAGCTCCTCAACGATCTGAAGCAATCGGCTCTTGTATCTCAATTGGCTCTCATGTGTAATATTAAATAAAGATCACATACATGTAGCAGCCTCTGGCAAAACGGATTTGACAATTACTTTTGGGTGTGGCTGCGAATGTGACTTCATCGCCAGCTGTTGCTTAATTCACCCTTCTTTCACCCGGTCTCCGTAGACCACAGAGGCAATTGGCGAATTGCATATCTGTCGATCCATGCGGTTTCCCCCTATTCTTGTACAGGGAAATTGAGTAACAATTTTTTTTTGCGTATTTTGTTTGTTTTTCTCGCTTGTGATGGGACTTGTTTGCCGGATGAACCTTCATATTTATAAGGGCACGGGGTGACCAATAAGGTCTGAATTGGTCTGTAATTAATGAGATAGGGCCCTGATAAGGGGTTCGACGGGTGTGGAATTGGGAGTGTGAATGTAACGCTGCAGTGAATGTCACCGGGGAGTAGTAGAGCCTTGAGGCTCGCAGGTTGCGACTCTGTACCAACCGCGCTCGCTGCAGAACAGGCGGCTTGCTCAGCAGCGGCAGCAAACACGCAGCAATGGCAACAGCAGCTGCCATTCGCCACTAAGTGGCAGTGACGTCACCACGGCGCTTGTGCCAGGCCATGTGCACGTTGAGGCCGCGCGTCGTGTCGAACGCCCGCTGGCAGGAGGTCACGGGACAGACCCCCAGGTGCCATGAGTTGCCTAACTGAGATCACTGGCTGATGCACCACCTGTGCCCAGGTTTGCCTGGTATGCCTCGGGCAGCAGCGGCACACACGACAACACCCGCAACAACAAGATTACAAACAGCAACGGCGGCAGTCTGGTACAATGAAGCCTTATCTCAAGTCAGGTTTGCCTGGTACCCCTCGGGCATCTTTAGGCCTTAGTGGGGGCTTGGTGATGAGTGGAAACCTAAAATCCCAGCCTCAGACTGCCCTTGCTGTGACAGTACTGTGTTGCCGGATGATGTGTGTTTGTCTCTCACTGACTGCCTTTCTCTGAGCGATTCACCAACCTCCATCTCCATGTTGCATTCCGGCGACATCAGTGTCGCAGGCTTGCGTCATCGATGTCAGCGGCATCCAGCGATTCTCATCTATTGTAGAAAATAGGGGCGTGCTCGTGATTGCGAGCTATGAAAGTCTCGTCTTTTACCCACACGGAACTCGGCGACGTGGCTTCTCGTTGTCCCAAGCCCAAGAGGTTTTTAGAACCTTTCGGAACAGACAGGCGCCGTTCGCCGTGGAGGTGCAAGGCGCGTGTTGCGTGACGGCCTGGATGAAACAAGCAGCGACTGGCCTGAACACGAGCCCACCCACTCAACTGGACATGTTGACCTCTTTCTCCCGACCCACGCGATCTTCGGCTGCTTACCGGCTTGCTGCCCTTTGCCGAGATCATTTTTTTCCTCCGCCGTCCGTTAAACTGCACGGCGTTTGCCGGCTTGAGCGCATTTGCGGCGTTGCATAGCGGAGGGGTCGTCTGGGTGCTCGGCGGTCGAGTAAAGGAAAATTCCATTGGTCGGAAGTAACGTGATGAAATGTGAGATGAATGTGTCGTGGTCCCTGTGTGGGTGCTTTGAGTGAGTGCGTGTGTGTGTGTGCACGCGCGTCTGCATACACGTGGGGAGCTTTACCAAGGCGGTTGTGCGTGGTGTTGGCCACCCACCCCCTCGCGTACTGTGCCGGCCTTCGTAGGTGCTCGCAAAACAGCACGTTCTGTTGAGGCTATAGGGGTCTTTGCCTTGCACATATGGACATATATATATGGAGTGGGGAGCGGTAGTGTAGCTGTTAGCGTGCTGCGCTATGAACCCGTTGACTCAAGTACGATTCCCACTCACTGCCAACACCAGTGACAAATATTTGAACCGGTTCTGGGACTCGTCTAGGTCAACTCGGACTTGAATTTCTTCCCCGGTGTGGTGTGTTAAACAATCAGCACTGGGGAGATGAAGGTGGCCAAGCATAGCGCTGTCCACCCTCCCGCTCATGCGCCATGCCGGTTCTTTGATGGCCGCTCACAGAACTTACCCCAATGGTATGTTAAAGGATCTATATGGGTACTGGCTTTACTAGCCGGCTTCTCCCGGGGCTTGGATTCCTGTCTTGGATTAATACGCAGCCGACGCGGAGGGTGGCGGGGGGGGGGGGTGCGTGACGTCAGCAGGCACACTGTGTGACGCTGCCGCATGCGGGTGACATCACAGATGTGACGTCACAGATGTGACGTCACAGATGTGACGTCACTGATGTGACGTCTCAGATGTGACGTCACCGCTCACTTGCCGTGCAAAATATATCCCTCCCTCCAAAATACAAAAGTCTATTTTTTATACTTTTTGCATTGTGTACAGTCTGGAAGCTACCCACAAATACCAAATTTTAAGTTTGTTGCATGTCGGGAAGTATGCTAAACATTTCGAACAGACACACACAATCACAAATTTCCCTTTTTAACATGTAGATTTGTGTTTTGTATGTCTGTGAATGTTAGGTGGAGCAGTTGTCTCGTGGTTAGTGCACTGAATTACAAAACCTGGTGACCTGAGTTTGATGAATATCTTGAGCAAGTTATTTACCTCTCTGGGGTCATCTCAACCTTAGATTAGTACCCGGCGTTGTGACCAACACCACCCCCCCACTAGCAACGGCACTTTCCCCTCCAAACAGTCTAATAGCGGATGCACACGTGATCTTTCGTCTTCCTGCGTGTTTCGACTTGCTTATGTGTGTGCCCATGCACTTGCAGATATTCGGGGCTTTCGTATCTTCCGCGATCCGATGCAACGACCACTACTACGGCACTGGAGAAACCTTCCTGTTCACCTTCAATCCGGACTTTAAGGTAGCCTTTCCAAAACAGACGATTGTTCGTGAAATGTGAAATGGCTTTTCTCACACGTTCTTAGATTTTTTTGCTGCTTTTATTTCGTTGTGGGGGATGCTGTCGTATTGTTGTGGTCCGCACAATTGAATTGCTGGCCAGAGGTCGGGGGGGTTAGATTCATTATCCCAGGCCTGGTCAGTTGAAACAATGGTGCAAGTTTATAAAATCGCTCTGTTTTTGTCCACCTGGCGTCGTAAATGGTTTTGCTAAATTTAGTTGATCGGCAGGTTTGTGTATGGCGAGTGTGGTTAGGGCACCACGGTGGCGAGATGTTAACTCCCTCGCCTGGTATACAGGAGGTCGTGGGTTCGATCCCGACCCTGACGCCTGCTGCTGTATATTTGGAGTTTGCATGTTCTCCCCGTGGTCGCGTGGATTTTTCTCCGGGTCCTCTGGTTTTTCCCTCCACATTTAGAAACATGCGCTTGATTTTAATTAAACGATTGCTGCAATCTGTACTTATTTTATCTAGAGCGCTCCCTTAAAAAGGAGACTTTCAGCCACCTACTTAGAAAGAATACGATTATTATATTATCCAGAAGTGCAGGCCATTGAAGTTTTGCACATGTGTTTTTGTTGTTGCTATTAACCCGTTTAATTGTATTGTTTTATTTGCTTTCAGATTTTCAGGTGGACGGGAGAAAATTCTTTCTTTGTCAGCGGCGATAAGGATTCCTTGGTCATTGGTGGTGGAGAGTGAGTCTCAATCGTTTCATCCGCCATCCAGCGACACATTTTAATACCCCAGTTAATGAGTGCTTAGCACGGCATCACTCTTTCAGCTGCTTGCGTTCTATGAGAATGAAACACGTAAAACGGTTGTTTGATCTGAACATCTGAAGTCTGTGGACAAAAGTGCCTGTTTATCCAATTTTCCTTACATCGGCTGAACGGCATTTTTTTACTTTGATGCGTCCTCATCCCTGCACGATTTCTCTCCACCCCCCCCCCCCACCCGTTGCGCCCCCCCCCCTCCTCAGCGGCGTGTTTGGCTTGTGGCTGGGGGGCGACCTGTACCACGGGTCGAGCCGGCGCTGCCACACGTTCAAAAACGAGCCGCTGGGCACCCGCGACGACTTCTGCGTGCGGGCACTCGAAGTCTGGGCCTTCGAGTGAGGAGCCCCCGGTGTCTCCCGGCCGAGCGGCCCCCATCGAGGGTCCCCCCCCTACCCCACCCCACGACACCAACCCATGCCCACGCCCAGCGGCGAAGGTGACGATGATGAAAGAGTGCGAGACACGCCAGGGGGACCCTCGCTCGCGGGCTCCACGGACGCGTGCCAGATGTTCCCTTCCAGGTCCGGGCGTAACCAAAGGGTCCGGCAGCCCCACCACAACTTTGGCGCAGGTTGTGGCGAGAATTCCTCGCGGCGTGCTGAATGGGCCCCGGGGAAGAAATATTTACGGAGATCGCTCCACCCGCAGTCCGGCTCGGCGACAAAAGGCGCCCGGTGAAAATGCGGAGTGAGCTTTCGCGGAGCGCGCGGCCGTACGCGAGTTGTACGATGCACTCGTTGTTGCGTGTGTGTACGTGGGTTTGATTTTTGTCAGGGTCGTTGAGGTCGGCGGGGTGGGTGGGTGATCGGTGAGCGTCGCCGCCGTTTGGTTTGTTGTCCGCTGCCGGCACTGGCGACTCCACCTTTCTCATGGCCCTCGCCACGCCGGTTCGTTAGCGGGTGACGGGCTGCGTTCATCTTTGCGAGAAGGTTCTCTTGCCCACTTAATTACGCCGCCCTACGAATGACGCGCTTTTATTTGCTCTCTTTTACAAGCGGCACAATCGCCCGGGGATTGCCAGCAATCCCCGGCGTAGCAGCCTGGAGCATGTGAAAGGGACTGGGAGGCTCATTAGTGACGAGAATGGCTTTAGTTCTCTGCCGATAGTATTGTGATGCGATGCTTATCTCTGGCCGTGAAATGCTTTAATTGTCCGCGTTTGGGCTTTTGTGATCGCTATCGGCGATTGTTCTGGTCTTGTCCAGCAAAACGTTCACAGTTTGAGTCAAACGTGATCTGAAACCAACGTGGTGCGGTATGGTGTGTGCAGGATTTCAAAACAAAGCTTTGGTTTTGGGTTGATTTTAAACGAGCCGTGAGATGGTGGAAACGAAAAATGCAGGAATTGGTGCAGGAAAAAGTCTCGTGAGGTGCTAATAAAAAAATAAAAATTGTAGCATCTTAATTGGTTTTTCTGGTATAAGCCATGGCCTTGTACAATGCCCCTGAATCTCTCTTTCTCTGACAGGTCCATAGCTCGCTGTTAATAGTGAAGCAAGCCCGGGTGGTCACATTGCACGTGTTGTCGCTCCCATGCTGTGTTTAAATTTCCTAATCGGGATGAGTGACCACTCATGCACCACCTGCACCGTGCCTGGCCTTTCAATTGGGGCAGGTAAAACATCTCGTGGTACAAGGTCTGATGAAATGTTCCTTTGACCTAATGTTAGACCTCGTTCTGAGCCACATTTTTACACTTTAAATAATGATACTTGGTGTATTAACTTGGGAAAAATCTGCAAGTTTCATGCTTTTAACGTCCTAGCCTCAAAGCCTTTCAACAACACATCATATTTAAAACGGATCTCTTCGTGAACACACCAGGGGTTATCCGCATGTGAAATACAAATCACAAGTATGCTCTTCTGCACAAAAACAGACACTCAAAGCGTGGACAACCTCTGAATTGATCTTCACGGAATATTCTTTGATACAGCGCCAGTGACGTATTATTTTTTAGACTAAACTTGATGGTGGATTTCGTCCTGTACAATTTTCTTTCCGACTGCAGTATATCCGAGGCTGCGATCGTCATTCTACGTTGTTAAAGACTTCGCAGTAGTCTTTGAGCCATGTTGTATTCCACTTAAATAATACAACTCTAAAAGCTGAAACTACCACCAGGAACGTAATTCGAAGCTTCTTGAGACTCTTCACGTTTGGTATTCTTGCAGGTGTTGTGTTTGTACAATCCGCATCTAAATTCCTTGCTAATTTTTTGTACATGATTCCCAAAAAGTAATTGTTGCGGAAGCTTTGATTTTTTGTTCGTATGGCAGGATGGAAAAAGCAACGGTCTTGAAACGTGCTCCAGTTGTTGTGCTACGTTTTTTCTTAAAACGAATCCAAGCAGGCAGTCGACGATGTATAGCACTTCCAATTAGCACGGCAGGCGACGTACGGCGCGAAAGAAGTTCAGCATCCATTGCGCTCGTTTTTTTCTGCAACACACAAGGGAAATCGCCCATGGTTGGCAGAACTTAATTAAAGTTTGCTGTGGCCACCTTCATTAGAACGATCGTTCGTTGCCGTAAACTGAGCGCATGTGCTTTTGGGAGTAGTTTCTGCATTCGAAGGCAGCGGTAGGCCAGGCAATGTGGAGATGCGTGGACCTGTGTTTTGGCAGGGCTTGTTTCACACGCGTTTGACCGAATTAACCACCTCATTGAAATGAACGCTATGTTCCGGAAGCTGAGCGCATGTGCTTTCGGTAGTTGCTGTATTCGAAGGCAGCGGTAGGCCAGGCGTTGTGGATGTCCGAGGCCTGGGTTGTTTTAACTGAATCGTGATTGAATCATTTTGTTGTTGTGGTCCAGTAACAACTACACGAAGAACGGTGCTTTTCCTTGGTTTGGTAAATGTCATGTCGGGTTATTATGATTGCACCTCTGCTGCCATTAGCGATGTGAAGCTCGCGAATGTGATAGACGCATTGCAGGAACTTTAACGAGTTTGAATTCGACGTTTGTTTCTTCATTATATGGAGATTTGCTTGAAATGCACGGCTCTACGTTACTGTATTTCTTTTATTATTAACGTAATTTTTTAATTATATTTTAATACAATACTTGAAATGTGTTTTCTAAACGGTTGGTGCTTAGCCCCCCGAGTGCGATGAATTATATTGCATCTTGGAAAACTGAAACTTGCATTATAACACTTTTAAGAATATTAATCTTTTTAACGATATCCACATATTACCTTTGCTCCGGACACTTTTCATCCAGTAATTGGTCGTTTAAATGAAGAAATAATGTAACGGAATATTCACATGCTGTGCACGTTCGTGCGGTGACGACTTTGGTTAACCGTGAGTATAATAATTGAAGAATAATGTACAGCCCTTGGTCACTTGACTGCTGGATTGAAGGCTTCCGCTTGACGTGTCAGTGGTGTGAGTTATATGACCGTACTTCACCATCCTGATCAGCGTGGGCTGGTGCATTGAAGGCCACAGAACCGGTTGTGGATATCGCTCGCCGCTGATGATGCCCGTTATCAGGAATCAAACTCGGGTCGCAGCGCAGGGTTCATGGCACGGTGAGATCACCAATGTGCCATCGCTACACCATTGTTACGTTCTTCATCCCACTTACACAGTATTCCGATGTTTTTCCAAGATGCTATATTTTTACCACTTTTTGCAAACGAAGTTTTTTTTTTGTATTTGACCACGCGGATGTGTTATTGATGAAAGAATTTTGCTGGTTGCTCGTAAAAAAAAAAGTATTGCATATCCGTCGCTCCGTAGTGTGCACTTTGTTTCAAGCTTATAAGAGCAATGTAATGGAACGTAAGGACATAATCTAGTGACCGCTTGTGTTGAGCACATTGAAAAACTTGGTCACAATTCCACTTGGGTGAAAAAAAAGGTCCCTTGTTACCGTGACCATTAAAAATTATTTAGGTTCCTTTAGGGAAAAAGAAGACATTAACTGAAGTTTTAAACTGAAATTAGTTACTTGAAATGTAACGAATTTACAAAAAAACCCTAAGAACTTGATGCCTTGCAGGTGCACGCAGTTCATCCCCATACGCCAATCTTCCCCACTAACTCGCTAATTTCAGAGAGGTGTTAAAAACAATACACACGATTGATTGCGTTTTCCTGTGCTTGGTTGTAGAAAGATGGAATATGCGACTCGTGATCTGTATTTGGCAGACGCCTTGTACACAGCAGGGTGCCATGAGTGGCTTCAGTGTGAGGCAGGAGGCAAACGCTGTCTTTTCTTTTTGCAGTCTCAACAGATGCACTTGGTAAAATGTAACATTTGGAACGCAACACGATGCCTTTTTGTCAGAGTTTCTTCCTCTACCGGATGGGCGAGCGTTTGAAATCTCCTGCAGTTTCGCGTGAGCAGCAGTGCGGCGAGGATGGGCAGGGGGCTCAGAGCACTGGGTCAAAGCAACTGAGCTTGCAATGTCGGCATCCTGGGTTGAAGTCCGGCTTTCAATCACCCGTGATGAAACCAGCTTTCTCAAGTGCGTAGAGCAGTGGTGGGCCTCGGCCTGACCGCGAGCCAGTGACTAAAATGAATCGTTCAATTTCGTCGTTGGCATAATTTGCTTTGTTCGAGCTCTTGAGAACGAAGTATTTTTCAGTTTGACACGTGACAAGTGCTTTCTGCAGGGCATATGAAGATCTGCCCCGAGTGTGGATAAATCGGCACGTTCGAGTTACTTAAGACGTGATGTATTCTGGTGCGGTTCTCCAAAAACATGATGTGGCACGCCGCTTTCGGCGAGCGTTCCGGATGGAGCGGTCTTTTTGTTGCCGCGTGACGACGATAATGCAGTTGGAATATAAATGAGGGGATACGAAAGCAAAAAATAAAGGTCTTGGCGAGGAAATTCATTTTTTTTTTTAAACGGGTGATGCTTTCAACTCGAGCAGCTGTAAACGGGGGTAACATATTTCACCACTCCACTTCTGGAAACCCGCGTGCGCTTCTGAACTAAAACTGCAAAACTCAAGGTGGCGTTTGACATCGCCACTGCGCCCGGCCCGCATTGAGAATCATTTTTGCGTTTTTGGCAGATCGTGACGTGCTCATTGCTGCAGAATTAGAAAGAGCACTTGCGGCAATTCCAGGGTGTACTGCTGTGCTCCGACAAAGGTGGTAGCAGTAAGATCCGCTCCAGTAAAGTTGACCGATTCCAAAATGTATAGTTTTCCACTCGGTGGTAATTCGACGCGATACGATGGCTTTCTTTGTTGCGTTCGTGCCGTTCGTGTGTAGCCAACTTATACGAATGAGTTCTGTGAGGGTGGGCAGTTTCTGGTCATGGTGGGTAGAGAGGGGGGGCGGTGGGAGACGTGCTGCACCCGTGTCGACCTGTGGGTAAACTGTGCATAGACATCGTTGTCTGGAATGTTCAGTAAATGGTGGGGTAAAGTGTGGGTATTACAGCCACCCTTTTGGACAAGTCTTCGTGGCGTAGGCGCTGTGTGTGGCCGGTATTAATTTAGCTTTGGAGGTAGTTAACGTCAGGATTTAAGAGGTCACGAGTTCATCAGTCGACTCTTGCTCTTGCTAACATTTCCGTGGATGGTGGCGCCTCTTCGTGGCTTGCAGCGGCGGTGTGACATGAACCCATTAGTTGCGATGTATACAAAAGAAACAAAAAAAAACATCGATTCTTCCATATGATTCAACGCTTGTGTCGTGAGATCAAGAATCTGTATTAATCGACAAATCGGTGCATCGTTTCACCTCCTAATCAATGATGTTACGTCGGCGAATTTCTAACGGTTGCACGCAGTGGAACAATTTGTGAACGGGTCCTGCCTGTCTGGTGCAATGATGCAGCAAGTCCTGTAGCTGTTGTGTAAGCATAACCCAAATGAATTTGAGCATTGTGTTATTGAAGCGACTGTGCATTCAACTCAAGATCAGTGGTGGTTGCATGCCGTGCACAAAACTCTGCGGACTGGTAAGACGTTACATCGGTAGGCTCTTGTGTGGCCTTAAAGATTAAAGCCATTGCTGTATACGGGACATCTCATCGGTGGACTGCAATGTCATTGTTGCTTCATAACAAATCCACTGTAGCGGAGAGGTATGGATGACGTGCGATGTGGGGCTCTTGCCAATTAAAACCTTCGCCGTTGATTTTTTTTTAAAAGCTTTATTCAGGGAGGGGGGTCTTCTTTGAGGTTTTTAGTGCCCAGAGAAAACGACGCCCTGGGGAGGGGAGTGCTTGGGGCTGATTCAGCGAAGGGGGGGGGACAGAAACCCTGTTATGTCAGCTATGTCATAACAAATCCCCATTTATTTTCCACGACCAAAACAACTTTACCAATTTACAACTTTTAGGTGAATTATATTTGTTTTCTACTTAATGCAAATCTAAAAAAAAACATGAATCCAATGCTATGGTAGTTACAGTACGAGACTGGGACTGTCTAGGAATGTGTACGTTTCTGTGCGGCGTGGAGACGCGGTGAACAACAAATCAGCATGGCTTTGCGGTATACTCTTTGGTTTTTTTCGGTAAAGTCACGTAGGTAAAACATTAAAATAAATTCAATCACGACGTTTCGGGCGCAAACACAAGCGTCCTTCTGTTGCGCCCGAAACGTCGTGATTTAATTTATTGCATTTTTTTCCTAAGTGACTTTACTGAAAAAACAGAGTATGAATCCTTGCAGTCACGAAAACTTCAAATCTAGAATGGCTTTGCCGTGTTTATTTTTTTCCATTCGGGAGTGCAATTTTATATTTCTGTCGCTCAACTTTTACGAGTTCGTCAGCCGCCACTCCCTATGACACAGCAGCGGTCCCCAACATTTTTGTCACCAGGGACCGGTTTCGTCGAAGACAATTTTTTCACGGACCGGGGTGGGGGGGTCATCATTGGGTCTTTCCCCCTTTTTAAAGAAGCTCTCCAGCGACGTTTGTTTTCGACTCATTGTGGCTACTAGGGGTTAGAGCTTGTGGGCTTACCAACACTGTGAGTGAGACAAGTGCGTAGTGTGGGAAAGAGGCGCGGATGGAAGTGGTGAATAATAAAATAATGGGGGCGGGTTCCACGTGCGGACTCGTCACTCTCACCTCCTGCTGCTGTGCGGCCCGGTTACTAACAGGACACGTGACCGGTAGCGGCCCGAACCCCTGATATACAGGACACAGAATACCCACTCACGCTCTGTTGAGGACACGCAGGAGATCAATGGTGGCCAATCCACCGAGCACAGTGATGATCCATTTTGGTGGATGCCACCAGCTGAAGACCAACAACGACCCTTCAATATACGTGGTTTTTTTCACTCATTTTCGAAGGGGGGGCAACTTTTGCCGATAAGATATCGTCAGCGTGAGGGCCGCAACACGTTTGAAACTATTGGGGTTTGACAGCACGATGATGGTGGGGTGTTTTCACCCTTTGTGTATCGTGCCGGGGGCCCCACTAGTGGCCCGCGGGCCTTGTACTGAAGAACACCGATGGACACAGTCACACACAAAGTATTAGCGCCCTCTATTGGTAGGCATTATTTTTAATGCATTAATTCTTGGGGATCATTTTTTTTGTTGATTCGCCATCACCCGAAACGAAAAATGTTAGTTCGCTTATGTTCGTGTTCTGATGTGTCCTCGGAGCAAGACAATATAGTGTTACTATCCGCCGCCGAATGGCGCTCCATGTATTGACCGCCATTGCTGGAGAGTAACGAACAACTGCACTCGACAGAAAAAAATTAACCCGTTAAAACAAAGTTTTTCACTATAAATCCTTTATATGCGTTGCATCGGGGCGGCTAGAGTCCTTTCGTCCTCTGGCTTGAGATGGCTGCCACCTATGGGTCAGATGATTGTGTGCCAGCATTAACCAATTGGTAAATAGATATTTTTCCCCCTAAACCGTGTAAAATTTTGGGACAATTTTTTCACGAACATTAATTGTCACGCACAACGAGTCTGTGTGGAAAATGTCAGCTCGATTGGATCACGGGAAGTGGGTTAAAAAACGACCGAAAGATTTGCACGGTCCTAAGCAAGCAACCGAACTTAATATAAAGGATTTAAAAAAAATTCAGAAACATTTAGAAAAACCACCGTTTATTTTTCTGGGGTTCATGGTCAACATTTGTTTTTTTTCATTTTCGTAAACCCAACCTCGGCTCGTGTGCATGAGTAAGGAGGATTGTGGCATCGTAGGACTGGCCGACCGTGGTCATTGCTGGGTTGAAGGGAGCACATTTTGTGTCGTCTCTCGCCTGGTACCAGACGTGGCCTAGGTGCCCCTGCCCACCAAAGGTCCTTCGGTGTTTAATAATCTCCAGATTATTATTTTCCCACCACGTCAAGGAAATGTCTTCTTGCAGAATGAAACAATCCGCTGCTGGATGAACGAACGCCTCTCCACACCATCTCTGTCATGCACTCCGATTGGCCGATTCGTGTAGCGGTTGGGCGTGAAGTGATTCCACTGTGATTTAAATTGGCATAGGAGCCAGGAGGCTACACACTTACGTGCTTTATTGATTTTTCCCGAGAAAGGAAGGAACCCATTAGCCTTGACCTCTTTGCCTGCTGTCCCCTGCTGTGCATGCGCTTGCCAGTTCCTGTACTCCACTTAAATTGGGGGTGCCACGGTGGCGAGATGTTAACTACCTCGCCGGGTATACAGGAGGTCGTGGGATCCCGACCCTGCTGTATATTTGGAGTTTGCATGTTCTCCCTGTGGTCGCGTGGATTTCTCTCCGGGTCCTCCGGTTTCTTCTCTCCGCATTTAGAA